TTACGTTTACATTTGCTATTGAGTGGATTAAACTAACTTATGAATTTTATATGACGTGGGTCATAGCTGATACGTGAATCAGCTTCTCGTGAACGGGGCACAATTTAGTAACTCACTGCTGTGAACGGGCGTGAACGGAAATGGAAAACCCTATACTTGGATTGGAATCCAATATTATTAGGATAATATTTAATGTATCTTGAATTGAATATTTAGTTTGTAGTACCTGAGCGTCCATTTGGATACAATACTCTTCGGTTTAGAAAGCAAAGAGCCAGCAACCATCATCATTCAGATTACTATTCCTTCACTATATGGCTGAATATCGCTTAAAAAAAATTGTAGATACCCAGCTTAAGACCATCATGCTTTTATTATCTACAATGATCAAGTCTATACCGACAAAATTGCTGTCATGCTGAGCCACATAACTGATCCTGATTTCCGTCGCCAACATGCTTGCTTAGAAAGTTTCAAAAAATACATATAGGTAATGGGTTTTAACAAGAGCTATGACCTTGAAAATAACAGGTAAACTTTTGTACTGAATCGGCATGACTCATAGCTCTTGTCAAAATCCATTATTTCTAAACAACTCGCTATTAACCATAATCCGGAGACATCGCTAACACCTATTATCGCTTGCGCTTCACAAAATCACCAACACTAGAGATGTAATAAACTTGAGTTTCAATAATACTCAAATGATTCCCCAGTGGATGCAAAACATATACATAATGACAGGCCGATCCTATGATACAAAGAATAACTTTGGTATGATACTCCCGGGCGCGAAGTTGGGACGAGTTTGCGCATGACGCCACAATGAGAGTGATTTTAAATATTCCCCTAAGAACATCGGCGCTTGAAACACAATGAATTTGTAATTGACAGTAAAAATTTGTATTGTATATTATATAGAGTTTCTATTTTTGGATTCATTAGAATATAGATGTTTTATTATTTGATTGAAAAATTAATAAATAATACAGTAAACAAGAATAAATCTGTAAAATAAATTTGCGACTTTTATTTTATTTTTTTTCTGTATTCTTCGCTTTTTAATCCTAGGAAGGTAACCTTCGTAAATGATACGAGCTCTCTTTTGATTGGCTTGTCTTATTTGGCGCCAGTCTCAAGGAGGGGATTGTGTCGTCGAAGTTGCACGCAAGGTATTAAGTTACAATTTTTTTAATTCTCTCTTATTCCTCATCTCTTCTCTTCTCTTCTTGTTAGCTTTAATTTCTTAAGACTAAAATACATTAGAGATCGAAGGAGATGGTGTAATTATCTATTCCACAATCCTCTTCGATTCTAAACGTTCTTGATTGTGGCAGAGGAAGAACATGGAACAGCATCACAATTCAGGTTCGGTCTTTCTTTGGTTCACATTTGCATTTAAATGTCTTTCAAAGTCTTTCGGCTCAAAGTGATTTGGAATAAATCTTTGAGGTTTTAGGATTAAATTTGTCTTAAAATGACCACCAAGCAATAATCTACAGTTTTCCACTATCGAGTCCTTGAGAAAGCCATGAAATCTACCAGATTTATCGGCATCTCTTGGTCATGAATATGACGCGGATTTTATGTTTTCGTTTTTAACTTATAAATTGTTCCTAGCGAAAGTCCCTAAAAAATGCAGAAGGGGTATGAGTGTGGTTGGGTATTAAGTACTGGCTCAATAATAATTAAACATGCCTTATTTATAACTTCTAAAACACCAAATTATTGTTCATGTATAGTAGATATACCTACAAAGCCACTAGCACTTATTAAAATCGTATAAAGAGTTCACAAATATTTATAATACTAATTGTTTTTACACTAAAAAGTCTACAACTCGACTTTTAATCTCACAAAACACCATAAAATCTACAACAAGCTTACCAAAGAAGTCAAAGCTATAAAATTGATAAAAACGTCTGTTATAAACAGATATATTACAATAACGGCAAACTCTCATTTGTGACGTCAAGAGTAAGGGAATCTGCTGACAGTGGCCTGCGCAATATCACACCTGTTATTCTTTGTGCCATGGACCAAACCTAATAATGAAAAATATAGCATACATGCGACCCCACGAGGTTTGACCACCCCATAATGATCAACTCTTAACAGAGTACAAACGGAACACGGGTTTGTCCATATTTCCTTCTCAAATGCAAGATGAGAGATTTTGCTGAATGTGATGTGTCGCTGAGAGATAAATTATTCATTATATAAATTCCTGAATGCCCTTTGAGCAAATATAATAATAGAAAAACGAAAATTGTTATATGGACATATTCGGGGTATAAACGAAGCCAGATATCACTGGGATTTTGCAAATGGAAACCAAACAGGAAGAAACCGGGACCTCTTAGATTACAGTGGAAAGAACAAATATAAACAACATTGAAAAAAAGACCTCACTGAAGAAAATATATATGACAAGAAGAAATGGTGATTGGGTAAGTAATATGTTTTTCTCATGCTTCATTAGAATTATTTCAAAAAGCATTTGGACTATATCTAGATATTTTCCACGACTTTGGAATTTAGACATATCTGGTTTTCGAGTAGTTTTAGGTATTTTTGTATATTGATTGTTGTAATACTTTTATACAATTATAACTTCTTTTAAGTTTTAAATCTATATATAAAAAATGTAATAACATGTACTTTTAAAAAGATTATCACGCATCTACTTTGCACTATTTTATAGCCATTTACAGTACGGAATAACTGTTTGGGGTAATTCTCCTCACGCAGATCGAATTTTTAAACTATAAGTATAAGGGACACTGTAAACCTTTATTTCTTGATTTAGGTATTATGCCACTGCCTTCGCTCTATACACATGAGACGCTGATTGAAATTCATGCCAATAAAGGTTATAATATAAACTCCAACTTTCATGATCACCATACAAGATCTAGAGATGCTATTAGAGCACAACGTTTTAGGTTGACAAAGAGCATAAAAAATTTAAGTGATGTTGGTTTTGGCAGTTAACTTTTTGGCAGATGAAGTAAAAAGTCTTCACTTGTTATCGTTTGAACTTAAATCAAATCACACTTTTTGACACATTGTTTCTATTTAAAAACGGAGTAATTAAGTACAGCTTTTACACAATAATAATAGTATGGTCATGGTATTTGTATATTATTATTATTATTATCCAATAACAAAAACACATGCACCGACGTGACAGTACTAAACAAATTCTATACCGGGTGTGACCATAGATTGATTAGAGCGAATAATAAAATACAGACGAGAGTAGAATGAAACAAACTTAAACGATACCCACCCACGATGTCATGATTTTAAAAACAAACGGATAACCAAAAGAGCTAGCACAAGTTTAAAATCAGTAGAGGACACTGAAACAAATGGATATAAACGAACTAGCAATAAAATAAAAGTAACTGTAACAACATCGGTTAAAAAAATATGTTCAAACACGAAAACAGCCAAATCATCTAAACTCCCAACCTAATACAATTAAACTACTCCAAGAAAGACCAAACAGATAAGATCGAACTTCGGACAACTTCAAAAGTTTAAACAAAAACGTGAAGAAAAGGAATAAGAAACGATCATAGAAACTATACTAACAATATAATAAAAGATGTAGTACAAGATAAACTGTAATATAAAGAGTACTGAAAGCAAAAACTGAAGACGGCCATAACAAAAATCATAGAAATAAAAAATGAGAAAAAACGTCACCGTCCAGAGACAGGAAATAAACGAGGCATTGAACCATTCTACACTAAATATATCGTAAATACACACCACAACTACGACGTACTGAACGAACAATAATTTACACAGACTCAGAATAAATATCGGACATAACCGACTATGAAATAAGAATGGTCCTAAATCAACTAAAAACGAATAAATGTCCGGGAGAGGATAAAATTACAGTTGAAATGTTGAAAATTGGTGGCAGAAAAATGGAACAGGTATTAAATACTTTATTTAATAAAGTAATTGATGAAGGAAAAGATTCCTCAAGTATGGTACAACTCGAAGTCATTCTACTGCTCAAAGAAAGAGACAAAGCAAACGTCGAGAATTACCGACCAATATCCTTGCTATCACATCTCTATAAATTACTAACTAAAATCATAACCAACATCCTAACACTTAGCTCGATTTTCTATCAACCTATCGAGCAGGCTGGATTCAGAAAAACTTTTAGTCCATCGCTCACTTGCACACCGTGAAGACACACTAATAGATGAAATGCACCGAGTATAATATTCCAATTCATATGGCGTTGGTCGATTTCCATATAGCATTCGATTCTATCGAATTATGGCAGTGCTTGAATCTCTAGAAAAGGCACATATATATCAAGATACACTAACATAATTAACAGCATATGAAAATGCCTCCATGCAAGATTAAAGCTGTACCGAAAGCACAAACAACTAATTCCACATAAGGACTACAACTATTTACCCTTGATTCAACTCATGAATGTGTTGCTTGTGTGAGTCCATTTCAAATAGGTAAAGAAATAATAAATAAGACTTACTCACAATCAACTTAATTAATATCAGACGACCGGTTTCGCTTTATACAATATGCAAAGCATCCTCAGGTCTCGATTACAAAGTTAAACAAATGCTGAAATAATAAAAACCCTATTAGGGTGTTGTCTAATACCGTAAACAAAGTATGGTATTATAAATTAAACAATTATGCCAATATTACATGTCTGTGGTTTTATTTAAATGAGTATTATCTATCATCCAAACTTTATTAACCGCCCGCGTCCCGCCTCAAACCTTAGGCTATTTATTAAAATCCATCCGGTATTTAGGACCAATTTCCCAAGAAACTCGCACAATAAAAGATCTTATATCACTATTATTAACATCATCGGTAACATCTCCACCGAAGAATAAACAATCTTGTGGCGGAACAAACCTCCACCTCTCCCTATTACCGAGGATTATTATCAGCACCAACATGTGCTTTCTCTAGTCGCAGACCGCTGAAGACGTGCCACTACTGCCGCACGGTTGGTAATAGCAGGAAAGAGCATGCTGCCCGGGGCTACCGCAGACTAATCGTATTTTTTTTCAGTTTAATATGCATTAGTTTGAAAACGAAAGTGAATGCACTTGAACGGATTGTTTTTTGGTGGACATTTGAATTTCGTTGATTTTTTTTGCGTATTAAGTCGGAGAAACTTAGTGTTGGTGTATGTGTATAGTTTTAGTTGTCTTAGGAAAGTTGTCATAAAGTAAGTTCTTTTAATGGTTTCTATTTTATTTAGAAGAAAAGAATATAAAATTATTTTTTTAATTGGAGTAATTTTGCATTATTTTTGTTGATTGTTCTAAGGGAGTATCAGTTGTTTGAGAATATTATCGGAAAAATTTTTTTACATGAACTATAAATTGTAAACAAAGAAACTGTTTATCAACATTTTAAATTATTTCATACTGAAAGCCGAATCGCAATTTTAAAGTAATCAATTTTGTTTCTTGGTTACACTGGAAAAAATCTAAATATACAGGGTGCTCTACATTTCGGGGACAAAATAAATTGATTGAATCCAACTTACCTCAGAACAAAAGTGTACACAAAAAAAGTTTACAGCCTTTTCGAAGTTACCAATATAAATTGTATTTTCGCATTTATCTCTATTGTCATTTTGTAATAAAATGGACTCGTTACTTTTCTTGTTCCAAAGCATTTTTCATAAAAAAGAACACAAAAGCTTTGCGCACAGTAATATTTTAGGGCGTGCCGCCCTAAGCCCCCCAAACTTTTTAGTACGGTAAAATAAAGAATTTACAGAATTCATTAGTTAACATACTTATTTTTAAAACTTTTTTGCCTTTCACTTTTTTCAAAAAACAGTTTTTTATTGAGTTCGCCTTTTTATTAAACCTTTTAAAAAATTACGTGCAACTACATCAAATGGCTTAAAATGAATTAACAAGTACAAAAAATGTTATAGCCTCTGATAAATATGATATTACAATAAAATGTTCAAAATGAACCAGCATTTCTTCAATACACCATTCGATACCGTTTTAATAAGGGAAAATTGAATGCGCTGAAAAATCATAATTTTCTGACTCGGAAATTGATTTGCAGCTTATATTATTCAACCCCCTAATGGTTGTTTCGTCACTCCATTCTATGTTCTGGGTCCATGGGGTTAGGACTGCCCTTCTGGGTGGCCAAGAAATAGGTGCGTTTTGACCCCTTCCAATCAACCGACCAGGATATGCCTACAAAAGTATTTGACGGACATTCATTACTGTAATGCGTGGAGCGCCATCTTTGTAGAATAACCACTATTTTGCCTTATTGCAATATGCACCTCTTCCAAATATTCTTGTAAAGTGTTTGCCAAGTACTGGCAAATAATTAGGACCATTTAAATTATGGGAAGTATTACCTGTGGCTCTTAGGTTGTTATCCACAATTCCTGCCCAAATATTAACTTTGAAAGTCTTTGGTTTAATGAGCCTTGTTCTTGGGGTGTGGGATTTTGTCGGCCCAAATGTGCTCGTTAGATGGTTTGTTATTCCATTTTCCTACTGACAGGTTAGCCTCGTCGGAACTAAAATATTCTATAAAATTAATATTTTGAGTTTTTTCCACTGAACAAACCAATCGCAAAATCAATCCTTTTGGCTAATCTTCAACAATAATCTCTTGGACTGTTGTTAAGTGATAGGTAAGGTGAGTGGTACGGATGGACAACGACACTATTTGGCAGCACTTGCGGTTGAATGTACTCGTTTCCCGTAAACGAAATCAATGGTCATAAATAAGCGTCAATCGGGTGTATTTCGATCGGGGTATTTTACATGGCATAACGCCTTGCGGCCTGTGTCTCTATTTCTTGACATTCCTACGATACTTTATTGAAATCATAAATTTAATTGATCCAACTAACCCAAAGTTAAATACATTTCTGCCATTTCCTAAAAATATGTAGGCCGTGGTAATATCAAATTTTTAATATTAATCTTATTCACTCAATAAATCATAGCTTCAAATTATTGACTATTATTAATGGGAACTGTTTGTAATTATTGTATCCGTAGAAAAACTAATTGTAATTTTATGGCCTAACTAGGAAAAAACTAGTGTTTTTTCGAAAAAGTGATTAGGAGGCTCAATATGTTTAAAATAACGTGTTAAACTAATGATGACACACAATTCATTTGATTTGAACGTACTCAAAGGTTTGGTGTACCAGAGCTGCAAAAGAAGTTTTCCCCCTTTGCGAGACTACAGCTAAGGAACTTGGTCTTAAGGTATACGAGGGGATAAGCCAAGTACATGGTTGTTACGAAGGAACCCAAGACAAAGGGTTAGGCAAAACGTACAATTAACGAATTTAACTTCGAAGTCGTCAAAGAGTTTAATTATCTGGGAGCTGATCATAAACATCTGGAAAAACAATATGAAAATGACGTGGCAGCCAGGATAATAGCAGGACATAGGACATATTACTCATTAGATGACCATCCTCTAAACCAAAAATACTCTCAGATCAGCAAAAAATATGAGTTTACAAGACCAATTAATTCGTCCCACAATGAACGTTTGTATGTGGGCAGCGATCCATGTCATGTCCACGGACATGGACCTGAACCAGCGGGACACGACACTTTCTGGGAAAGACCCGATGAGAAGGTCAGTTGGCCGCCAAAAGAAGAGTGGAAGGACCGCAGTGGCCAGTGGATTATCTACGTAATCTTGGAGTGCTAGCGAAGTGGGAAATAGCGGCTCAGGTCCCCACCGACACATGCAATGGAAGGAATAGTATCGCTGGCCAAGACTCCCTTTAGTGGTTGTAGAGCCAACTGATGTGATGATGATGATGTACTCCAAATGGTTGGGAAGGCTGTGGGGCTGCACCGTTCTTAACATTTTTCTGGGCGGCTTAGATTTTGTTTGTTATTTTTGTATTGAAAAATGCTTTCAGTGAACTAGTAAGGTAACGTGTTCACATTTTTTAGTACTCAAAAATGTCAAGTAGTTTAGGTGGATAATGCAAAAAACAATTTTTATTTGGTACCTTCAAAAGGCGTGTAACTTCTTTTGTGTACACTTTGTGTACTAAAAGTAAGTTAATTCAATCAACTTCTTTTTCTTCTTTTTGTTCCCGAAATGCGCTTATTTATAGTTATGTCATACCTTTTTGAAACAACACCACTGTATATTATATACATATCTATTATATGTTATTTATGTATATATATTAGATATATAGTATTATATATATTTTATTTATATTATACTATTATATATATATACTATATATACGGTTCTTACTTCCTCTAACGACAAAAATTCAGTTTCTCCAGATACCTAATAAATCAAAGCTTTTGTAGGCACTCATACCGGTTCGATTCTATTCCAGAGTCCGAACTGTACTAGTGATTTTACGTAATTATTTTTTGTGAAGTTAGTTACTTTTTGGACAGAACTCGAAGTGGCTGGTGAAATTATCTATACAACCTTGCATACGTGTCTTAGTCAACTATTAAGGTTAACAAAGAGTAAATAAACATAGAACTTTGCTAATTTCCGTCAACTCAATAATTTTATTTATTGACACCGTATATGGTATTGTTAACAAATAATATAAAATTATTTATTTGTTTAAATAACATAACTATTGGGAGTAAATTCTACAAATATGTCAGAAGTCAAAGTGACGGTTAAATAAGGACACAGCATGTTCCTTAGGTTGTGCAGTTCTTTTCTTTTATTCCCACTTATTTGTTCCCTTCCTGCCAAGGACCTATTTCTTTTTTAAAAAAAAACTGATTCGAGAAGAAATTATCCATGTATTCGTCTAAAAAAAATATGGGCTTTTTGTTAAACGCCTTTTTGGTCATGTTTATTGGTAAATCCTTAAACAATTATGGCCTCATCTCAACTACGGGTACTTCCATGGAAATATTGTTTGTGGACGGTCTTGTTCTGTATATGAATCCATTTTTTTAATGATCAGAAGAGAGGCTATGTTTTGTCCTCCGTCATAAATAAATTTGTCTCTTAATAACCTTCAGGCAGACTAGATATTGTAAGAGGCAACTCTAAAAACAATTATATTACTTTTTAGGTTGTTTTACATTATGCCTAGTTCGAGAATTTTTCTCGGAAAAAACGAGTCTCGAGTCAATATATCGATATAAGGCCACCTAAAAACTACATAATCGTTATCTAACTAAAATTTATTTCAAAATTCAGATAGTTGACAGTTACCCCCAATTTATGTAATTACATGTAATTAATAATAATATTAGGGTTAATCAGCAATTACCAAACTAAATCATAGATTTACTCTGAACTAGAAATTTATTAATAATATCGAATTTAAGATAAAACTAAGTTTTGGTTGCATACATTTTGGCGCTACTTAACGATATAATGTAAATTAGCCAATTCTTTTTTATAAAATATGTATTTTTTTATATATAATTTAACACTTACTTTCTTCATTACATCCGAGAAATTTCTAAACGAATTTTGATTTTTGATACTATGTGATTTAAGTCGTCGTTTAAGATTTTCTTTTGCGATTTTGCTTTTTTAATGCGGGATGGTTGTATATGACCCATCTTTCTATTTCCGCACACTTTTTTTCTAAGTCCTTTCAGACATTTGGATGTCAACTGAAATGTTTCTGTTATTAAGAACTTTTGTATATAGTTTAACATTTACATAATGTCGATAAATACGATTTTAATGATCAACTTACCTCAATCAGGGTTTTTCATTCGGCAAATAATTTAAATAAAAAATGGTAGGCATTTTGCTAATCCTTTGTGCTGTTTTATTACCTTGGTAAATCTAGGAACAGGCATCCTTAACTCATATAAACATATTAACTTTTAAAAACAGATGTTTATTTCATATTTATTAAGAAAAACTTACCGACACAGTAGCTGATGGAACAAAATGGAAACTTTGACCATAAAAATTAAAATTTAAATTATAACTTACTAATTAACTGAATAGAACTAACAAAATGGAATTAAACAAAGATAATTAAAACAATATAAAACTATAGTAAATTAATATAAAACAACGCGAATAATACAACTATTTACTACATATAATATTTTAAGTTTGTAACAATTCAAATATTATATTTTAGATATACAGTGAAAAAATTTTGATGGGTTTAGTATGACATTCCACTGACTTGAAGAACTAAATTCTTCTTTTTTTCAAAGAATGATGTCTGCATTAGTTAGTGAT